CACAGGGGGGCACACGGGGGGCACAGGGATGGGCTGGGATGGGGAGGGGGCTGCAGGCAGGTGCTGGGTGAGTCTCTGTGGGATGCCAGGGGACGTTTTGGGGGTGATGGAGGTGGCTGAGTGGGGGGGCTCTGCTGGGTGTTGGGGACCTCCCCGCTGTGCCCTGGTGCCCCCCGGCCGGGCAGGGCCGGCCCCGCCCCCGTGACCCCCCCGGGCGGGATCCTTTGGGATCCGGTGATCCCGGGGGATCCGCCCTGCCCCGCACGGCCCCGGCCCCACGGCGGGGCTGGCGCGGGATCCGTGGGGCTCGTTGGGGGATCCAGCATGACCAGCATGGGATCCCAACGCCCGTCCCCGGGATCCCCGGGATCACCGGGATCGCCGCGCGCGGCCGGGATCCGCTGCCCGGGCAGATCTTTCTCGCTCCGTTAGGGGACGTCAGGCCCCAGAGCTGAACCCGGGGCAGATCCACTGCAATCCAGAGCGGGATCCAGGCCCGGCAGGAGGCTCGGGGCGCCCGAGCAGATCCCGAGCGATCCGGCGGCGGGAGCAGGGTCCGGCGGGAGCAGATCCCCCACGATCCGGCGTGGGATCCGTGGCTCAGTCCGGAGCTCCGGGGCCGCCCGGCGGGGTCCGGCGGCCGAGCAGATCCCGGCGGCCGAGCAGATCCCCGGGATCCATCGCTGGCGCGGCGGGAGCGGCGTGGCCGGGCGGGGCGGGGGGGTCAGGGACATCCCGCGTCCCGGCGCCCCGTGCCCACCTTCTCCTGCAGCTTCTCCATCTCCTCCTTGTGCGCCAGCTCCGACTCCTCCAGCACCCGCCGCTGCGCCGTCTCCTTCTTCAGGAACTCGATCTCCCTGCGGGGATGCGCAGGGGTGGCCGCCCGTCCCCACGGCCAGGGCACCGCCCGGGCACGGCGGGCTCGGGGGGCTCGGGGGGCTCGGGGGGCTGCTGGAGCCCGGGATCTCCGTGGCCGGGGATGCTCAGGGAGGAGCTGCTGCCCCACGGACCGCGGGATCCTGGAAGGGCTCGGGCTGGAAGGGAGCTCAACGCTCACCCATGGGCAGGGACACCTCCCACGGTCCCGGGGTGCTCCAGGCCCCCTTGAGGGACCCACGGCCAGGGGAAGGTCCCTGCCGTGGACAAAGGGTGCCCAGGGAGGATTTGGCACCTCAGGGATCTGTCCCTGCCCAAAGGGACCCCTCGAGGGTTCCACACCAAGGGCACAGGGACAGGGGCTGCCCGGGGAGGAGCCGGTGTCCAGGGGATGGACACACAGCCAGGAGATGGACACACGGCCACGGGATGGACACACGGCCAGGAGATGGACACACGGCCAGGGGATGGACACATGGCCAGGGGATGGACACACAGCCAGGGGATGGACACATGGCCAGGGGATGGACACACAGCCAGGGGAGGGACACATGGCCAGGAGATGGACACACGGCCAGGGGATGGACACACAGCCACGGGATGGACACATGGCCAGGGGATGGACACACGGCCAATGGACACATGGCCAGGGGAAGGACACACAGCCAGGGGATGGACACACGGCCAGGGGATGGACACACGGCCAGGGGATGGACACACAGCCAGGGGATGGACACACAGCCAGGGGATGGACACACGGCCGGGAGATGGACACACAGCCAGGGGATGGACACACGGCCAGGGGATGGACACACAGCCAATGCACCCACAGCCAGGGGAAGGACACACGGCCAATGGACACATGGCCAGGGGAAGGACACACGGCCAATGGACCCACAGCCAGGGGAAGGACACACGGCCAATGGACACATGGCCAGGGGATGGACACACGGCCAATGGACCCATGGCCAGGGGATGGACACACGGCCAATGGACCCATGGCCAAGGGATGGCCCAGCCCAGGGGATGGCCCGGCCCAGGGGCACGGTCTGTGCCCAGGGACAGGGGTGCCGGGGGATGGGACACTCTGGGGACGGGTCCCTTCCCGAGGGGACAGCGGGGGCTGCCCTCACTCACTTCTGCTGGTACTCCTTGATGAGCCGCTTGGCCTTGCTGTACTTGCGCTCCAGGGTCTGGTACTGGGCCTGGGTCTCCTTCAGGTGCTCGTCCACGGCCTGGCACAGGTTCTGCGCCTCCATCCAGTACCCCTCCAGCTTCTCCATGCGCTCCTTGTTCTCCTCCACGCTCTGCTCCAGCTGGGCCTTCTCGGCCCTCCAGCGCGCCTTCTCCTGCTCCAGGCACTGCAGCTGGGGACAGCGGTGTCACCGCGGGCTCCCCGCCGGGGAACGGCCATGGGGGGTGGCACAGCATGGCGTGGCATGGCACAGACAGGTGACAGGCAGGTGACACAGGCAGGTGACAGGCAGGGGACAGGCAGGGGACAGGCCGGGGGA